CCTACACCCAGCCCACCATTAAACCAGTAGAAATTCTACCTCTGTATGCATTCCCAGTTCCAGACCTTTCGGAGTAAGATGAGATACCTCGAACTCAGATGAGCTTCCTGCTACCCCCACCACACTCACCCTTTCCTAAATCTGATTCTAGCCCAGAACTGGGAAGAAAATAATTAAAATCCTCATATTTCACGAGTCCCACGTGTTATTCATAAGGTGCTGAGTTCTTCTTGACAAGAGGAACAGATGAAATGTGACGTGATGTCGCCATACTATAAACTTCCCGTAGAGTCGGCAAGTGCTAACCTGACTTCCTTCCTGTCCCCTCGCTCTCATCTCTCCGTCCTCATATCAAGATATGTCTGCATATCTTTATCCCGAAAAGTGTCCTCAACGCGTACAACTTGTGCGAATTCGTGCTCATCAAAATTCTCCTGTGACTCAAAATCTTCATCACAATGCATAAAATGTATGTAAAGCGTAAGCGTGAAATGAGTAGCTTTTCAGTTTATGGAAGAAAGGATAGAGAAGCATTTTAACTAAAAACGCAGAGAAAACGGATCCTGTGGGATTTTGGTGCTTGTCATTCTTCCTTATTTCAAACTCCAAGCTCCTCCATTACTAAAATAAATGTCATCAAATCGCTCAGTCTTCGTTTACCTTTTGAAGCCGGCGACCTCAGGCAAGTGGAGGAATATTTAGATTTATAGGGCTCACATGACTGGAAAAGTGCTCCTGATCCATATTAACCAAATATATTTCGCTACAATATTTTTGCATGCACGTAAAACATTCTCGTTTAGAATTTAACGAATGAGTGTTTTTTGTTCGTGTTATTTCTCCCTCTTTCAAATCGTTATCCTCTCTGTAAAAAAAATACTGCCACGCTCCTAGATGCATACACTGCTTCTCTGGAAAGTTTGTTGTTGACACGATGGTGGTTCTCGTTGAAGGTCTTGTTCTGAAACTCGTGTCTTGTCGTTGGTTTGCAATAAATCTCAATATCGTGATCCTTCTCCTGGCTGGCACTACTCTGCGTTAGGAAGAAAGAACGAGGAATGAAAATGGGGTGACACCACCTCTTCCATCATCTCTTTAATATCTTCTCACCATCCAGAACCAACAACAGTAGCAGCAGCAGATAGCGCCCAACGTACGTATACGCAGCAGAGAGAGAGAGAGGAGAGATGAAAGCCGATCCGAGATTTCAGGGCTTTGGTCGGAACAGGAAAAGGCCACAGAAAGTGTCATCTCCTCATTTGTAGCAGACAAGAACAAGTCAGTCGTGTCAGTCACGGCAGGATCAACAAGAGTTTCACAACTCGTAGAAAAACTTGTCTTTCACTTTTGCAATCAATGTATGAGTGAGTAAGGCCCAGGGATTGGTGCTCCTAATCTATCACCGTGTTTCCAATCATTGCAAATTGCACAATTCGTCCACCATGCCCTGCAGACACTCGCACCACTGACCTCAATTTAATTGATGTATCAATTGTCGTTTTATTATCACTATTTCTAAATCCCTATGCAATTACACATCTAAACATGAAACGTTATAGTATTTTTTGAGGATGAGAACACTAATCCGGTTAAAAATTGAGTAAATCTTTAATATAAATAAAAATCGTTCAACTCCAAATGTGAATCGCCATCCGCTCAAGGACGAATTTATGATTCATGAGCCTGAATCATAAGACCTGCATCATTTATGAAGTCGAGAAATTAAATTGTGGAATTAATTCCAACGGATGAATTTCGATATATTTTGTAAAATTGGCGATGCTTGAAGTGATGTGGGCTCAACAGCAGCGCGTATGCATATGTACACATGTATGCACACATAGTGAGCTCAATTTAATCTGCCGACTTTCTCGAATGATTAATATATTCATTTAATTCCAACGGGAAGAATTGAGCCATTGATTAAACCTCGCAAAAGCCACTTTACTACTACGCTCCGGTTCTTTGAGAAGATTTGTCACTTTTCCCAGTGCCTACAAAAAATGAGCCCCATGCATTCCTCACCAAAAGGAACATTTAGTTGAAGATTAAGTTATTTTCCAGTTCTAATGATGAAACTGGCGCAGGAAGGATGAAGACTTATTGTCGAGTTCAGGATGATAAGAAGCCACGTCATTTTTTAACATTTCTCAGGATTACATTTTAAGTCAGTCTCTCTCTCAGTCAGTGCTTCCTTTTCGGGAAATTCTTCCTCCTTCCTCTTCGTCTGCACGGTTTGAACGGTTATGAATGCTAATCAGTCAGGGATTTGAGGGGCGGTGAATGTATAAGCTCTGCTGAGAAGTAGACTGGAAGAGATTTGAGTATTAAATGTGGTATCCGTTTCTAAAAAAAAGTTTTGCATTCTCATAACGAACACAAGAAAAGAAAAATCATTTGATGGTGAGTTTCATCTCTCTTTAGAATTTTGTATTGAACTGCATACGATTACACATCATGTACATATGTACATGTATGCAGGCATATGTGAGATCAAAACTCCTTCCGACACCTGAAATGTAAAATACAGTACCATGCACTACAATTTATATGTATTAGCTTCGTTGCTAAACAAAATAAACTGTTTGTCTTTGCCCAGCATAGAATGTGTTGTCATCTACACGGTTCAAGCAAACTTTTACTCCCCTTGGACTTATGATAGAAAGTTAGATGCGAGTCCGATCTGAAACCATGAATGTTGGCTATTGCATATCATTGTGAAATGTGATAGAAGAACCTTGATGAAAGTGCTAACTTTAAACGAAACGTATCGTATACGTACATGCACACGTACATACATAAGCTTATACATATACGGTGAACAGCAGTAGAAACATGGAAATATCAAATCCCCGAGAATGTCTTCCATTCGCTTACGGAATGTGACCCAACCTGACCGTAGCGTAAAAAAATTCTGAATGCAGCCTCCGAATCATGGACGAAAATCTCCTGAAGGCCAGATTTACACTCAAAGAAGATTCGAAGATACATAAACCCTTGAGATCAATGATGGCATAGACTTGTGCTCTCGATTTCAGGAGTATTATGCGAAGTTCAACCTCTGTGCACTACTACAACTGAACTTCATTTCACGAAATTGACGTTATTCGACCTGGCGACCACCACCCCACCGACTGAAATGTATCTCAGGTTGGATGCAGCAAGGAAATAGGGCCGTTTAATAAGTTCATTTGGGGCAGGATCACAAGTGGTTATTGAAATGTCTGAATCTTTTTATAAACTGGGTCAGGACTTTTCAGAGAAAGTTGATCGGTATACCAATCCATAGATGCATGCCCACGGTACATACGCGGGGAATGGGGTGAACTCTTGTAGCTGCATGTTATGCGATCGGGTGGTGTGAGGTTATGTTAGGTTGTGCACACGAAAATGTCTATGAACATCCGTGCCCGAAACAAAATTGTTTGAACCTTGTGGTAAATTGGTTTGCTCCAATATCAAATATTGACAATAATATATTCTTTTCACCAGGCGATGAGGCCTTCATATTTCTTCATGCTTCGTGTGAACTAAGTGTGCAATTTATTTTCCAATCATTCCATCGGTTGAGTAGAAGCGGTTTGAAGCTTTGTGACAAAAATGAACGACTCGAAAGTGTTTATACGTTTGAATTTGAATCACACAACTGAAGATGTCTTTTAGATTAAAATAGCACATACAATTCAGATCAATCTTATTCCTTCGTTTCCGCTCTGTTTGGCACATTTGTGCGAGGATGCTGACCACACCATTCCACCCATGACACGGCCACCGCCACCGTACATTCGTCCTGGCTACTAACAAGCCCAAAGCTACATACGTACATACGTACGTTCAGTAGATTTGGTCATAGGATTCTTGTCTTTTTACTTTCTCCTCCGGCGGACGGAGGACTGGATCTACGAGGCAGAGCATCAGTCGGACTTTCTCTACACCCTTTTTCTCTCAACTCAACCATTTATTCAGAAACCCGTTCAACCAAATTTTGGCAAAGCGAAAAGCTGTCATTCCTCATAAAAGTTGTAGTCGATTATTATTTGCCACGGGACATGGTTTCCATCGGATTGGATATGTGCAGCCATCATCTCAATCGGAAGAAACCTGACCAAACTACAGATACTCGGATGGAAATAACAGCACCAAGTATAAATAATTTTGATAAAAAACAGAAAATTTGGAAACCTATCCCCTTTCAGTAGTTGGTACATACATATGTACCTAGCGGTACTACAAATGTGCATATCTATCCGTAATGCGTCAGTTGAGTACTTACAGAACGTTTGGCTAGATCTGGCTTGAAATGGAGAAACTTGTTTACTTAAAAATAAAGTTTATGACCAACTTTCCCAAGAGTAAATGTTTGTAAAACAACATCTTTGAAGCACTTATGTATAAGACCTGAAGCCAGCATCCATCAATCTCTCTCTGTGTAACCGGTAAATTCGTCCAAACGAGGAGACTGGGTAGAGGATGTAGATGGCTAACTGGTTCAAAATTTTGGATTATCTTTCGTCACTAGTTTCTACCTGATGACCAAGTAAAGGGAGGAAATGTGCAGCAGATGGATGGATTTCTCTAGTTGGCTGGCACTATCACTGGCCTTAACACGACACCCTTATTTCCTTAAAATAAGTCCATTTTCTCCCAGCTCATCTCCTCACCCGGTTGGTTGGTTGCTGGGACGAGATGCAGTTAAGTGGATTTGAGATGGATTGATGGAAAAGAGGAAAATGATATTTACAGAAACTTTTTCTCCGCTTTCTTTAAGGACTGAAACTAAATTCATGTCAAAAAGTGTGAGTTTGAGTTTGACCCGATCCGACCGAGTTTAAGGAAAAAAGGACCAAGTTGTTCAAGAAATAGGAAAACCAAGGAAGGAACACTTTGTGTTGATTTAGTGCGTCAGTCCCTATCGATCTCTCCCAGCCTTCCCCCGTCGCACATACATAGCTCTCACAATAGCCCTTTGCCCACCACGAGCTCATCGTGTAGTCGTTCTCCGGTTCTCTCGGTGGAAACAGCTCTCCGATCCACACTCATTCGCATTCTCACAAAATCTCACCGTTTCCCGACTAAGATTTCGAATTCAAACCGTTCCTTCAGACCTTCCCTCATTTTTTCCTCCTTTGCTCGAAAGCCTCTCACACCCACCAGTGTCAAGGATAAGACGGGGAAAGAAGTCAGCAGCATCCTTTGAACACCAAACACCACCAAAAAAGCCAAAGAAAAAATCTCGGCTTTGTTCTTCCCACTTGAAAGTGTGTGTATCTGATAAAAAAACAGGCTTGTTCAAATTTCAAATATCTGGTTCACACTCTGGGCGAATTCCGATCTGCTCCCTTCCTACCCGGTGCAATGTGTGGTGGTGGTGTGTGACTATGTAGCTCTTTGAGTCGTTTGTAATCATTGCAAGAATTTTTAAGCCGATTTGTCTCAACTCACTCAACTTGAAAGAAGAGAGACGCCTGGAAAAAAGAGATTCTTCTTGGATTCTATTCTTGCTCCGGCGGCTGCAGAAACTTAACACAACGTTATCCGGTTGCCATTTTTATCTGATTCTGTGTTCCTTGTGAAAAGTTTAACTTTTAACTGTTCAAAGATCTAAAGGACGTGAACGAAGGAAGGGAGGAAGCCACTCACTTCTTTTTTGGTAGTTGATAGTACCAAGTAAGTTTGACTGGTGGTGTGATGTTGTGACATAATCTCTTGTTCCTTCACGTTGGTTGTGCTCTCGGCTTTTCATCCATCCAGTCAGAATTATTTAGCTCATTTGTCAACCAACTCAACCTTATTGGGCTGATGGAAAGTTGCATCAAGGAATTTGGTGGTGCAAAAAGGGACAAGTCCGTACCTATTAAATTTACGAGTACAATGTCATATGATAATTGCGTGAGGGAAAAAATTCTCCAATCCAATCTTGGAAAATGAGCGAGGGTTAAGGTTGGTTTGTAAGTAATCCGTCTCATACAGGAAAAAAGTGATGACATCATAAGATTAGATAGATTCAGAGACTTATTTCTTCCCATTTTTCTCGCATCGACCCGAAATCATCGTTTCATGTGAAAATTACTTTCCTTTATCAACCCCATCCTTATGATACGATACGACACACATCCAGCGCACACCTTCCAGTGAAGTGAAAGCACGACAACATTGACACAGCCAAAAAGTTTTGATGTAAGGAACAAGCTACGGACGAAGTGCTTTTATCCCTTGAAATTGGAAAATTCGACTTTGGAGAAAGTGACACGACTTGAAATTGTGTAGAAGAAGAAAGAAACAGAAAATCCCTCAAATGTGAAATTTCTGTTTGCACATAAGATTCTCCTCGACTGGAAAATTGTATGTGTGAATGAATCCACACAACTTTAGTGATGTTGCGTGCAATTTGACAACGTTTCCTTCGCAGCAGTGCATTAACTTGGAAGGAGTTTCCACTTTACGGATAAAATAGAACAATTGGGAAAGGCGACACAAATTTTGTCTGTGTAATAACTCCCTGCATACAAGAATAACTAGAATAATTGGCTACCGTTATAGCGTATTAAATATTGAACTTGATTGCATGTAGTGATAAATACGTTCAAATAATCAGTCAGAATCACCAAGATACTTTATCAGAAAACCTATCTGCGTGGTGCAGACGTCGTCTCGAGAATTCATGCAAGTGGGACAAATCGATCTGCAAAATCCAGCAGAGTTTCAAATCAAGAGTTCATGAATCTTTAAACTTTTCAAGTTTCTGACTTCAATCAGCCGTGTCAAGTAGATTGTTGTTCATAGTTTGTTTGTTGTCTTGTCGGCTGATGGGTGACAACCAGACGAAGAAATGGAGACGAACAGCAAGATAAACGTGACTGCATTGTAAACGAAGCACAGCGGAGGCATTGTGGCTACAGCATTTTCGATTGTTTGTACCTACATAGATTCGTGCACATTATTGGGTGCAAAATGTAACTACATGTCATTTTCCATCAGTGGAGAACGGCTTTGCGGACATAGGACACAGTTCATTTAATGAATCAATTGATTAAATTTCCCATCGTGCCCAATAATTTAATAATACTAATACAGATCCATTAAACCCACAGCGGACAACGTATAATCGTACATTTACCTCAAATAACGACCGTCAAATCAATTTCAACTTTTTATTGTTTTTCTGAATTTTATACCCACGAACCGTCAATTGGAGCGAATTATTTATTTTGTGCATGGGCGTATATTCTCTGTCAGTTGCCCATTACAGCAAAAAACGGAGCCTAATGGCATCCAACAGTTGTACTGTCATAAAATGATAGGAAATTTGTAGGCTAGTGTGTGGTGTCTTGAAAATTAACTTGATTCAATAATTCATTCTGGACTAGTGGGGATTTACTGCTCTAGTTCTTCACATGAAGATTATTAAGAATTAAGTGGAGTGGAGTAATTAGATAATTGTCACAAGACAGACATACACACGCGAGGTGACGGAGAAAGAGAAAATGACGCAAATGTGCTACAAGGCTCAGTGCTGTAGGAACTTGATGGAGGTCCTCAAAAGTCTCAGGTGGATTTTTCTCCTCATCGTCCTCACCGACAGTGGTAAGTCTCTTTTTTTCTGTAAATACATCCACTGATTAACTTTAAAATGCACGCGTGTTTTTGGACACACATTATAATTTGTTGCAACTTTGGCGAACATCAGTGAGATTAAGAGGACAAAATAAAATACTAAAGTACACGAGAGCTATATACTTCATCATCATCATTTTTTATACATACGCAAAGTTTTCAGTGCATCCGGAAATGAAGGTATTGCGTTAGCCCTCATTTACAAATGCTATAGTATTGCAGTGGTATATAGCAGTGGTATATTTATGTACATGGTTTGGAAGCCAGTGTTAAAAATAGACGCCCGGCAGCCTGTTATGCATAACTCGTACTCGATAAAAAATTAAAAAGTGTCACAACAGATGAAAATTGTTCAAAGAGAGTTCTCCTCGTGCAACATACCCCACAATCACTCATTCATGTACAGATATCCAACTCGTGAATGTAGGGTCACATTCGCGTGCGCTTCGGAAACGTGCCTTTTTTAGACGTCGTCTGCTGTCTCGTCACCACTTTGCTCATTATGTCCACTTATTTAAAAAGTGTCTCATTAAAACTAACAATTGAACTGAAAGGCGCTATTTACTCGACCCATCTTATCGCATTCTCTGTCAGCTCGGCAGTCATCATTACCATAAAGCTGATAACAACAAGCAGACGTTAACGTTGTCTTTCACTGTAACCATTAGTGCACTCTCGCTCGCACCAACTACTCTTTACTTAACATGATATGAAAACTCATCCCATCAAATCGTGCGATGCAATGATGCGACTCGAAAGGAATTTAAAAATCTAGATTGAGTGAAATGTAGCATGGATTGAAAAAGTCAGAGCATAAAGTCCTCCTATAAAACTTTTCCCTTTTCCTTGTGTCAGGATGATGATGATGATGGTGATGGTGATTGCAAAAATGGAGAGCATGTTGCAACAACAGATTTTTCTTGTAATGTCAACCCTGCTGATAGCGAGCAAATAGCATGCATTGAACTTTGCCCATCAAATGAAATAAAGCAAGAGTACACAAATTACGGACTCGACTCCATTACATGTACCCATTTGTTTAGTAGAGAGATCCGGAGATAAGTTCCAACATGTTGTAGAAGACGAAAAGGAGTATAAATACGCTGCAAACATTCTGCACTCATTTCACTTGACGATTCACAACGAGTTACTTAAATTGAGATATTTGTGTGTTGATGGTGTTCCTTACTTTTGCTCCAAGAAATGCTGATACTGACATGAGTGAAGTGTTTTCCTTCATATCCCACACTCACTGCTGCACTCGTCTTGCGTCTTCGTGAATTTGAATCTCCGAACCTCAACTCACAGTGTTGTTTTTCCTCTCAAGAAAAACAGTGCATCTCATTTCAAACGAGACGTAATCGAGAAAGGATTTGTATTTTTTAAGATACTTATTTTCCATAAATGCATCCGTTTATTTATTTTCCTTGTGTCGAATTGATCTGTTACTAGTGAATGAAGTGCTATGCAAATGTTGACAATCTCAGTGGATATGGCCACGATTAGTATCACGATAAGATCATTCTGCAAACTACCGATGTATTTATCTATGTGTATGGCGATCCGTATACATTGGCATGGACCATTGAGACCAGTTAATGTCGTCTTTTTTGTTCATTTTTTGAAACGTACCCTTCGTATAAATCACTAGAATTGCATACATTTATAGAAATCAAGTGCAGTAAAATAATCAAACTTTATGGGTACAGCAAGTACTACTTTTAGAGGAAAGATTAATTAAAACACTATTTGCAATTTCCTGTTGGTAATCTAAATAGTTTTGTTGTGTAAAATTTCCGGGAAAGTCTTAACGTCTTCCTTTAATCGTGTATTAGTCACTTGAAAGAAGACAATGCTATGTATTTGGAATCCAAATTTTGGATATCGACTTTCTATTGTTTAAAGTTTCGAGAAGTGCAGAATTCAATTTATTTCTCTTGGTACGCGGAAACTCCCGATGTTCTAATTTGATAAAGAGAACTTCTTCTTGCCTTGTTTTGTTATCATCGGAATAATATCGACACAAGATACACATCAACATTTCATTCTCATTCCCCTATATTTGCCCTAACCCCAAATATCTAGCATGTCAATAGTGCACACACGCATCAAACTCGACGTTGACAACATTGGTATATTTGACATCGCCCATAAAAATAATATTGAACAATCCATCGATATATATCCACAATCTGCTTCGATAGTTCCCAAATAAAAATATTATTGACTACCCTCCAACTTACCATATCTTTTGAGGAGCATTTCCACCACTGTACTCCGAAGAGCAGTGGTCGTCTTGACCTCAAAATTCGTTCTAACCAAAAGCACTCCATCATCATATCGCTCGTTTCTTGGCTACTTCTTTTTATTTCCACATACTATTTGAATTGTTCTCCTCTTGGTCACTGCGGGAGCGCTTGAATGCACATGGAAATATCCAGGACTGGAAATACATCACCGACTCATACGATGTTAAACTAGCTAAACTTCTCCGGACGAGAACCAATAACCCATAGGACGAATTTAATATTCATGTTCATACATATAAATATATGTAGGTTCTCAATAGTATAATAGGATCACTGGAACATGCTCAGCAAAATTTTCAGACATAAATCAGTACATTCTGTGCCATTGAACTTTTTATTCCCCTCGTACGTACGTATATGGAGTATGCTGGTTGGTTGGTGTACCCGCCACCATGGTCTTCTTTTCAGCAGGAAGAAAGGGTTGTGAAAGTCCAGCATGTATGATAAATATTGCTACTCACCTTTTCGTATCCACCTCGTTATTATACTTTTATATCAGGCGAAATTGTAAATAGAATCCTTCCACGAAACCCTTTTTCAGCATGTTGACATATATATCCACGTCGTTGAGAGAAGAACAAACCACGAAGAAGAAGAGCAGGAACCACTCTTGTGATCTTTCCTTCTTCTCATTCTCATTCAACAAATGTTTACCTTTCATTTCTTCACCACAGCTTTTGAAGGACGCGGAGATAGATCCACTTCTCGCAAGAATAAGGGTTTAACCATTGCATTATAATATCAAGGAAGAAGAGAAATAAAAGTCTTTTCAGTTTTTTGCCGTTGAGCTTGGGTTGAAGTTTGAGCGAGTAAAAGTGTCGGAATGAGACTGGAAACAGTTGCATTTATGATGATGATGACGATGTCGGACTCTTTCACAAAGTGAGGGAGACATTCAAATAATGCATTTCCAGCGTTTTTTCTCTCATGGAAATCTACATACTTTAACACAGTTTTACCCCAGGCTTGCTCAATTTGTTGTGCACGTTTTCTTGTGAAGATTACATCGAAATAATTGTTGCGTACCAAGGACGACCTAATTTTTCGGTAAAGCTGGGTATGTTGGAGTAAAATTGTGGGTTTGGATAACGAGCTGAGAGGTAATACAACTTATATAACCTAATTCTGTCGTGAGGTAAATAAAATATAAAAAGATGAGGCGAAAGCACCAAACCATTGGACGGTACCTTAACGCGCTCAAGTTCTTAGGTATCATAAGAAGGCATAAATGTGTAATGCAACTAGCGAACCAAGTCAACCTGGGAGAAAGTGATCACGGAACTTGGAGCCGAGGAGGCAGGGAGAGAAAGCAGGCGAGTGGAGTGAGAGGGTGGTGGTGGTGGCTTCCTCTTTAAGTTCAAGATGCCCAGATCTTTTTGCATGCATTATGGATACGAAGGGATTCTGGTCACGTTGGGAAGGGCATTATTGGATGGGATTGTTGAAGGTCCCTATTATTCCATGTCTTCATCTTCCATTATCCAATTTTCTTCTTTGGAGAAGAGTGAAGAGGAATATCCTGTTTAGTTTTCAAAGAGGAGTGAGAGTGGTCGTCCGTGGATATACACGTGTATTATTATTAGCGTACATATATCCTGCTATCCTCTCTCCAGGCCTGCCTGCTGGTGTCGTCGTCGTGCTTCTGCATACCCTTCTGCTTTCATATGCTCGGGGGTTTCAACTTTGGGAATTGGAGGGCAACCAAGGAGGAACAAAAGAAGACCTGTGAAATGCATTTTTTTTACTTTTGGCAAAACATTCATTCATTCACCAACTTGTAAACCTGCAATAAAATGTGGGTCAATGTTCGACCTTTCAACTCAACAGTGAAAGTTTTTGGGGCAATGTATTTATAATGCATTCTCCTACAATTTCTTTGAAAAAATACAGTAATTTGTTGATACAAGTACACTAGGTTTGATTTCTCCTTGCGTGTCTACTCGAGTATAATTCCAGTCATATTTTGCATAAATATTTCAATGCAAATTATAAAAATTCACGCAAAATAATGCCTCCTCATTAAAAGCTAACATTTTAGGACGGCGCAAAAATAAGTTTCTAATGTCGCACTGACAGAAGTTGTTGAAGAGTTTGCTTCTTACACTTAAAACCTCCAAGGGCAAAGAATACGTGCGATTTGGAGAAAAGTTGAAAGTGCATGCCATGTGCAAATTCTAAATCAGCGATCTGCTGATATCAGCCATCGTAATTCGCCATCCTGGACCGTGTCGAGTCGTCTGGGTGTTGGGCTTAAATCCAAAGTATGAGAATATGTTGAGTAATAAAGAATTTCTTGGGTTTTTGTTACACACTGTTATTATGAACTCAACGGAGTGTGCGATGATGGTGGGGGCAGTTATTGCACAAACTCTCCACACACACAAACACTCGTCGCCTACTAACATGGATCGAAACCTCGAAAAGAAATTTTGATCTCGCGTGATTTTTTTATTGCTTTCGCAACCCATGCCCTTCTCCATTCTGCACGAACGAGCAAATTCCTCGAGTTTATTTTGCTCATAAGCAAGCTCCAGGGTTTGTGGACAATTGGATTTTTATCCAATTTATACAAATTAGTTTGCTATCCTATATTCTCGAAATATTATGCGCCACTCTTACCCAGAGTGTCGGTTCGGAGCTGTATTAACAATTTCCTTTCAC